GTACTGGAAAAATTGGCCACAGAGCATGAGACGCAACCGAGCAAATGGGTAAGATGCTGCCATCTAGTGGCATTTTTTTGTAAGGGCAATGTATGTAATGCAACAAGGTGGAGAACCCAATAGGCAAAATTCTAACCATGCTTATCTCTTTGCTATCCTTCTATTGCCTTCCTACCTGTAACATTTTGTTTCCCCAAATATACTATTAGGAAGGAACCAATGACAGCTACATGAGAAAATAGGTAAGAACTAAAGACAAAATAACAAAGTTGCCCTCTCCTGCTAGTATTTACTAGTAGTATGTAACCTTTGTCAAGTTACTTAACTTTTCAGAGTCTAAAATTTTCTTATCTGCAAAATGGGGACAATAGCACCCATCTTGTAGTATTGCTATGAGACCAAATTGAAAAAAAATATGTATAGGGTAGCAATGGTTCTCATAATTGTTAGTTGTGGTTGACGACCTCATGTGTGCAAAGTAGAACTGCTCCATAGGGTTTTCAAGGCTGTGACCTTTCGGAAGCAGATCTCCAGGCCTTTCTTTTGAGGTACTTCTAGGTGGGTTCGAACCTCAACCTTTTAGCTAACAGTCAAGCGCTTAACTCTTTGTGCCACCCAAGGACACTCTATCCCTTTTACCCTGCTTAATTTTAATTAATAGTACCTCTCACCACTCATCATGTTATATATTTATTGTTTATTTTCTGATTCCTGCCCCAGTTAGACAGACTTTATCTGTCTCTAGTGTTCAGCACAGTTCCTGGCACAGACTAGGCACTCAGTATTTGTTGAGAGAATGAACAAACCCTCCAGGCAAGAGCCTGTCTAGATTGGTGACCAAGGCAAATTTCTGAAGCATTGGTTCTCATAGTTGCAAGAGTCTTTGGGAAGCTTCTGAAAAACGTGCGTTCCAGGATCCCATCCACAGAGCTCTGCGGTAGGGCCCATAAGTCAGCATTTTAAGTAATACCCAGGTGAGTCTGATGCAGTGGTCTGTGGCCCCTTTTTGGAAAACACTGCTCTGGGGGAACAGATTTGCCTAGGGATGAGTTCACTAGAGCAGGGCTGCCCCTTCAGCAGGGTTTCTCAACCTCAACACTATTGACATTTTGGGCCACACAATTTTTTTTGTGGGAGGCTGTCCTGTCCTATGCACTGTAGGATGTTTAGCAGCAGCACCTTGGCCTCTACCCACTAGATGCCAGTAGCACCCCCTCCGCCCCAAGTTGTGACAACCAAAAATGTCTCCAGGCAATGCCAAATATCCCCTGAGGGAAAACCGCAGCCCCCTCCCCTCCGTTGACAACCATTGCCCTAGGGTGTGTGAGGCCCTGGGCAATTTGGGGGAGAGAGGGAAGGGTTAGGCTGTCTATATAAACAATATGGTTTAAAATTCATGAGCTCATGTGAGGTATAGTTTTTTCTTAATGGAGATTTAGAATAAAGAGTAGAGAAAGTACTTATGTATTTGTTTTCCAGTCAGTGCACATTAAGATTCTTTGGACTGTCCAGGCATTACCTCTTCCTGTTCAGGTCTAGGAACCATCTCTTTATGTTCTTGATTGTCAAATACACCATTCCTGACTAATTTCATATCTCCCACTCATGAAAAAGGTAGCAACGCTGTTACTACTCACAATGCCACTGCTCTTTGTAACCTGATCGTATTGAAACAATATAGATCTTCTTGCCTCTGCTGATCCCTAAAACCATTTACACATGACACTGCATCATCCATCATGCCACCCATGCTTCCCATGATTCTCATAAAGATAGAAGAGTGGCCATTTGCACAATGGAAGTCTGTTCATTGTTTGGCATGACCGGGGACAGCACAATGTCACCACATTGATTGGAGACAAAGCGATGAACCAGTCCAAAAAGCCTGTTAGTGTTGCAGAGCAACAGTTTCAAAAACCCTCAGAAGAGATAGGCATGACAATATTTGGAGGGTTGTCTGACATGTTGTGTTGTGTGGACTTTGCAGAGGGGGTGAGGTGACTGCCTTGGATGCCAGCAGTAGGAGGCATTCGGAATAGAAGATGCCTGTCTTACCCTTGTCACCCTTGGGTGTGGTAGACAGGAGGTGCTACTGTGTTCGGAACACAGAAGAGCAGGAGGCAATGCACAGGCCGACACATTCAGCTCAAGCCTGAGGTCAGTGGTAGATGGTACCTCATCCTGTGTCTGATTGTGAGTGAGAGTCACACAAAATCTGTGTCAGCACCATTCTGGTGGCCCAATCTCACATGATCCTGCATAAGAAAGATCAGATTGGCCAGCAGGAGCACTCTGCTTATCAGCTTGTCCTTCTGGAACTGGGGCCCTGTTAGTGGGCTCTGGAACAACCCCACAGACCCAAGTCCTGGAGCTCTTTGGGACATCTGGTGGACCCATGTACTGGGAAGAAGATTGGAGAGCACCCAAACAGGGCATAAACTGGGACCAAAACCTGTGACGGTCCTAGTCTGAGTTTCGGACACCCTGACAGAAGAATGGTACCAACACCACCCGTCCCAGCCAACAGTCAAAATTTCAGGGAAGGCACTACAAAGACTGGTGTGGCCTGAGGGCCTCAGCTTGCCCAGGGCCAAGGGCAGTACTGCACTAGAGCAAAGATGAATGAGTCAATTTCTTCTTAAAGTGTTCTTCTGGGAAAGGGCAAGGTTCACTCTGTGGAGTATTATCCCCAGTAGCAGACTATTCCTGGAAACAGAGGAACTGTTATGTATGTTAGCTGGTGATAACTCGTGTAAGATAAAGCTATAGAAACTTATTTTTCATTCTTGCTGTTTCTACTCCTTAGCACTTAGTCTGTCTTCTCCATATATCTTGGAATTTCTGCTTCTTCTGGTTCCATCTTATTTTGTTGTTTACCATTTACAGTAGGAGTTCTAAATCCAAATTCCATGGAAAGGCTTCAAAGGATCTATGAACAATTAAAAATTATTTGCAAACTTGTTGGGGTATGTTTGTTTCCTGGGACATGACATTGATTAAATTCAAGAGGTCTATGACCCCACTAAAGATTAAAAACCATAGTTTTAGGGATGGCAGCACAGTATTCCCCTAACACTCTTCATATTTAATCATTGTTTAATGTTAGCCGGTCTTTCTCAACAGTCTTTTAAGTTCCAAAAGGGAAGGGATAGTGTTTATTCATTGCTATATTTCTGTGCCTAGCATAGTGGCTGGCACCTAATTAGTTCTCCTGTGTTTCTTTGATGTATCGCCATTTTTTTTTTTTTTTGAGCACTTCTGTATTTTCCAGCATGACCAAGATGCTTCAGGCTCATCTTGTATATTCCCTGTGCCAGTTCTCGAATCAGCCATTCCTCCAAGAAGCCCTAGTTTCTTTTATTGGAGAATGGTATTAGAAACCAAGATCTGGGTGCTAAGTATGCTCATTGCTGCTTCTAGGCCCTTCTCAGCTGACAGAATAAGGAAATACATGTATGTAAACTAACCAATGTATATGCAGATATCTATGAAAATTTCTATATGTCACCATCTGTACCTATATGAAGCTAAACATGAGATCATACTGATGTTTCCAACTCTAATGCATTACCGTATGAATCATTCTAGCCTCCTGTCCTTGATTATCTATAAACTCCCTCTTCAACAGAGAAAGCTGGCTCCAACAGAGAAACCTGGCTCTCACTGTCCACCACACATTTCCTTAATTATTCATTTCCAGTACACATGTGTAGTGGTTTCAGAATTGTTAACTTATACCCCTGTGGGAAACAACTCTCTGAGTACCAAACAAAACCAAACCCATTGCTGTTGAGTCTTTTCTGACTCATAGTGACTCTGTAGGACAGAGTAGAACTGCCCTGCAGGGTTTCCAAGGAGCACCTGATGGATTCAAACTGCCGACCTTTTGGTTAGCAGCCAAACTCTTAACCACTATGCCACCAGGGTTTGTTTATTAGGATCCCTGGTGGCACAGTGGTTAAGAGCTATGGCTGCTAACCAAAAGGTTGGCAGTTTGAATCCATCAGCTGCTCAGTGGAAACCATATGGGGCAGTTATACCCCCTCCTACTGGGTTGCTATGAGTCAGAATCGACTGGAACACAATGGGTTTGGGTTTGGTTTTTTTTTTTTTTTTTGGTTTCTATACAGTTCCTTTTACACTTAGTTTTACAGATTGCAACTTATTTCCAAAGTTAGTTAGGTCAGCGTCTTTTCTCCTACCTCCTTCAGTGAGGTTGTTTCATAACTTGTAATATAGTTATTTTGCTAGTCTTCATTCCATCTTGGGCTCTCCGACCTCCTAAAAGGTTTTTTATTTTTTTAAGTTGCCTGCATTAAGTTCCACTTCTTTGGGCTGTAAAGTTCTATGGATTTTGACAAATGCATAGTGTCATGTATCCACCATTACAGTATCATACAGAATAGTTTCACCACCCTGAAATATCCTCTGTGCTTTGCCTATTCAACCCTCCTCCCCCACTAAATCCTTCGCAATTATTGATCTGTTTTCTGTCTCCCTAGTTTTGCCTTTTCCAGAATGTCATGTAAATGGATTCATACAGTATGTAACCTTTTCAGACTGGCTTCCTTTGCTTTGCAATATACACTTAAATTCCTTCTGTGCCTTTGCTTAGTGTGATAGTTCATCCCTTTTTATCAGTGACAAGTATGCCATTGGAAACCCTGGTAGCATAGTGGTTAAGAGCTATGGCTGCTAACCAAAAAGGTTGGCAGTACGAATCCACCAGGTGCTCCTTGGAAACCCTATGGGGCAGTTCTACTCAGTCCTATGAGTCAGAATCCACTTGATGGCAATGGGTTTTTTTTGGTTTAGTATGCCATTGGATGTTTCTGCTTAGTTTTGACTCTTTTCTTTTTGTCTTTAAATTGAAGCCATTTCACCTTACGACAGAGGTATGAATCCATGGGGGCTGAGCTGAAGAGCAATTGAAATGACTGAGACCACAACATGTTGAATGTAATTAATGTCACTGAACTGTACACTTAAAAGTGGTTAACCTGGCAAAATTTTTGTTATATATATTTTGCCACAATAAAAATGAGTGTAATAACAAAACAAGATCGCAGAAGGCGAGCTCCTTCCCGCTCTGCGCAGGGCAAACGTGTGCCTTTCCCGCTGGCGGTCCTGGGGTCCCACGGTCGCACCGTCCTCCAGGCGCGCATGCGCAACGGGGTTCAGGGCCTGCGGGGTCCCTGCGCTCACTACCGCCATCTAGGCCCGCGTACAGTTCCTGGCAGAGGTGGAGGAGGGAGTGTGCATGTGCCAGCGCCCTAGCAGAGCTCTCCTCGCCGCCCCTCCTCCCCAGCTGTGTCTGCAACACCTTTCCGGGCAGCCGGGGAGGGGGAGGAGTCCTTCAGCGCAACGCTCCCGGGGCTTCCCGTTTCTCTGAATGGGCCCGCCCCGAGGGGCGTGAGGAGGAGGCGGGCGGACTTCTGACTCGGGTCCTTGAACTGCCGGCTGCCGAGCCCGAGTCGGAGCCCGCAGCCTTGTCAGGCGGTGAGAGAGCCATGTTGGCACTGCTGGGGCTCAAGCCCGAAGTGCAAGACACCTGCACCTCGCTGGGGCTGATGCTGTCGGTCGTGTTGTTCATGGGGCTGGCCCGCGTGATCGCCCGGCAGCGGCTGCACAGCCCCAAGGCCCACGCCTTCGTCTTGGAGTTTCTGGCCACCTTCCAGCTCTGCTGCTGCACCCACGAGCTGCTAGTGCTGAGCGAGCAGGACCCCGCGAACCCCACCTGGCCGCTGACGCTTATCTACTTCTTCTCGTTGGTGCATGGTCTGACTTCGGTGGGCACCGCCAGCAATCCGTGCGGCGTGATGATGCAGATGATGTTGGGGGGAATGTCCCCCGAGTTGGGTGCAATAGGTCTGTTGGCCCAGCTGATTAGTGCCCTATGCAGCAGGTACTGCATAGGCGCCTTGTGGAGCCTACGTCTGACCAAGTATCACGTCAGCGAGAGGAGCTTCGCTTGCAGGAATCCCATCCACGTCGACTTGCCCAAAGCGGTCGTCATAGAGACCATCTTCTCCTTCATCTTCCACAGCGCCTTGCTGCACTTCCAGGAGATCCGAACAAAGCTTCGTATCCACCTGCTGGCAGCACTCATCACCTTTTTGGTCTATGCAGGTTTGTTACTCCCACGAAACACTTGGCATGTCCAAAACCTCTATGACATGACGCTCTAAGGTTTTACCAGGATACATTTGAAACGACCCTGTAATGTAAATATTGGTATCTCCGTTAGTCTAACCATTTTGCAGCACGCTCTTAACTGATGGGGCCAACATACAGATCTCTCAGTGCTTTTTTGAACACCCAGAGAAAGGAGCCACTCACTTCTATGCTGAAACTGAGATCTTGTGAGATATTGCCTAGGGTTCAAATATCCTCCAAAGGGGATTGTCTTAATGGTAGACAGAAAAGATAACTTATCACCTACCTCTTTCCTCATGCCAACGTGATATGGGTTCTTTCTGACGCTCACTGAAAAATGACCCTGGGTTTAAAAAGTTCCTTCCAATTTAAAGCACAAGGCACATGATGACTGGGTTAGTAGTAAGGTTGGGAGTAGAATTTCTGTAGTTCCATTTCCTAATTCTTTTTATACAAAAATTACTTAAAGTCATTTCTTATTTCCTTAATTATTCACTTTGAGTTATAAACAAACTTTTCAGTGGCTTATCAAGAAACACATGTATTTGAAAACTAAAACTTGCTTAAAGATGTTTTAAAAAAAAAAGATAACTCGAGAAACCTGTTAATTTCTTTTAAATCATTTGTTTGCCTTAACAGATCTCAGAAGCAGCCTATATATTCTAAATGGGACAAGGAAATCCAAAAAACAAGCGCTTTATGATAAAATGTGTCATTTTAAATGATGACAACAAAATATCTTCACTAGGTCTGTATCTGAATTATAAAATGTTTTAGAGACAGAAATCTAACAAAAGGAAATTTGTAGTTAATAGTCTATCTTCAGACCATTAAAAGTTTAACTATGAGTAGAAGCAAACCTTAAGAAAAGGTCTCCTAATTGATATGCTTGATCCCCGAGGGTAAAAACGGAAGACTTCCCAATCCATTTTCCCTTCTTTAGCTCTAGTACCATTCTTTTAGTAGACACAGGTGGAAATAAATGGTACTGGAGAGAGGGAAGGGTGTATGTATTTGTGAGAGGTTGGTGAGTAGTTGCTTATTTAGTTATTAAAGTTTTCACTAAAGCAGAAACATCTCCCATATTTGAACAGAATCCTCCCTCGCGAAGAGTTACGCCACAGTGTAGCTCTATATTTATACAATTAAAGGCAATAAAAATTTAAAAGATTTTTTAAAATAAAATGTTACATACAGTTGGATCTCTTTGTACCTATGTCTCCCTTCGCTCTCTTCATTATATTGAAGTCGGTAATTATTCTTCCTGTTTGGTTTTATACTTTTAATACATACTTATGAATCCATAGTTAATACCATATGTACTATCAGTCAATCTCTTTTTCATAAGTAACAAAGATTTTGAGAGAAGGGAAACAATACTTGAAGTTACAGATAAATATAAAGTTACTGCAAAAAAAAATCCATAAAATATGAATTTAAGGTATGCAAAACCACTGCTCTTTTTCCTTACCTTCACATTATAGAAATCAAAATCCTTGACATAAAGATACTAATTGACTGCGGCGGGGAGAGTAGAGATCTCACTAGAGGAGAAGTTCTCAACATTCTCTCTGCTTTAGACTCACCTGGGGAGCTTTTTAAACATACCCATGCCTGGGTGCAGAGATTAAGATTTAATTGTTCTAGAAAGGGGCTTACCAGTTGCCCCTTCGATTCAGACTCATGGCGACCCCATGTGTGTCAGAGTAGAACTGTGCTCCATAGGGTTTTCAACGGCTGATTTTTCAGAAGTAGATCACCAGGCCCTTCTTCCAAGGTGCCTCTGGGTGCACTTAAACTGCCAACCTTAGTAGCTGGGTGTGTTAACCATTTGCACCACACAGGGATTCTGGAAGGGGTTTAAGGGATGGTATATTTTAAAGTTCCCAGGTGATCTCAATGTGGAACCAGTGTTGAGAACCACTGCTCTAGGAGTCAAGAGGTCCACTGTCCAGTTTGGTAGCCACTAGCCACATATGCCTATTTAAATTTAAATAAAATTAAATATTGAGTTCCTCAATCGCAGTAGCCACATTTCAAGTGCTCAGTGGCCACACATGGCTAGTGGCTACAGTAGTGGACAGCGCTGGAGACCGCAGGCGCAAAACCAGACAATTGTAGATTACTATTTACAGAAATTCATAATTTACTATGATCTTCCTTTTCATTCCTTTTTCTGCCAATATAAGGAAGATAAGGAATTAATATTTTTTGGGCACTTGGTAGAAGATGAGTATTTTGCTAGGACATTTACATGACTTATTTTAGTTAATCATTACAACCCACATTACTCCCTTTTTAAAAAAGTGAGGCTCAGAAAGAGGGAACCCTGGTTAAGCACTCAGCTGCTAATGGAAAGGTCAGCAGTTCGAAGCCACCAGCTGCTCCACGGGACTAAGATGTGGCAGTCTGCTTCCATAAAGATTTACAGCCTAGGAAATCCTATGGGGTAGTTCTACTCTGTCCTACAGTGTCACTATGAGTTTGAATTGACTCGACAGCAGTGCATTTTGTTGAGGCTCAGAAAAGTGAAATGACTTGTCCAAGGTCACAAAGCTAGAATATGGCGGAACCATGGTTCTGACTGACACTGAAGCTCATATTCACTTCATCATCATTTCTACTGTCTGCTCCTCAAAAACTACAAAAGGATTCTGTTAAACCAAATAAGTTTGGCAAACATTGGATTAAACAGGTTTTCTAATTTTAAGACTTCGCAGAGCATTTACTATGCTACTGTATATTGTGGAACTACAACAGGAGGATGTAGCACTCAGTTTTTCCAATGTGTGGAATCCTTTTGTCTAGGAGTGTAGAAGAGAAATACTTTGGGAAATGCAGCAATAAGCCGTATCGCTCCCCATTGTTTTCTATGGATATGTCATAACTTTGGAACAAAGTTGTCCCAAATAGAATGAACTGTCTTGGGACTAGTTGAATGTCTGTCCTATCATGCAGAGGTAAAGGTTTTGTAGGAAGGATTTAAAAATGGGTAGGAAGAGAAAAATGGGAAGATTTGGCTAAGTCGGACATCATTACAAGTTACTTTAATATATTTTTTTAAAACTCCTAATGGCTAATAAGCTGGCTGCTAACCCAGAGGTTGGGAGGTTCAAGTCCACCCAGAGGTACCTAGGAAGAGAGGCCTGGCAATCTACTTCCAAAAAATCAGCCATTGAAAACCAGTGGAGTACAGTTCTACTCACATGAGGTCACCATTAGTAGTAGTAGATTCAATGGCAACTGTTTTTTTTAAATGATACTGTTAGTACAGTTTTGACAAAGGTTGTAGGCTGGGAGATTTCTTTAATCACTTGGGCTTTGAGGGCACTCAGAAATCATTAACATGAGTCACATAAGAATAACTGAGTATGATTTTAAGATTACAGAACATAACTGTCCTGCTACATAGCCACAGGCTCCTAGGATAGCCAATGACCAAGGAGATAACAACTGTCTGGTTGTGTGTTTATTGATTTAGCACCCCTTACTTTGATGTGCAGATGAAGGCCACTTATGTCACTACCACTTATGGTTGCTTCCTAATCCATTAGCTGGGATTTATTGGCGTTCCTAATAAAGTAAAAGGAAAAAAAAAAAAAGAAAAAGCTGTGTGATTTAATAACATGTTAGAGCTATAAACCTATTAATGCAGATTTCAAACATCTTCTTTGGGAAGGTTTACTTCAATGAACAGGGTAAGAAATAAATACATTCATTTTTATGGATAAGTAATTAGCTATTGAAAAAAACGTTATTTTACACATCTAAATCATCCGGTTATTCTTTACTATTGCACCCTATTTATTTCCTTCATAGAATCTTAAATTACACATTTGCTTTCTGTATAATTTATAATTCAAATTATAATTTAATCTGCACACGTCTCCCTCCACTAGATGATAAACTTTGAGTACAAAGACCAAAATTGTTTTATTCATTATAACATATAACCAGGACTTAGCATGGTGTCACTTGGTACAAATTAAACAAATACAAGGTATTTATAGGATGAGTGAATGAATGAATTAGCAAATATATTATTCACTTTTAAAAAGTCACACAGAAAGAAATAATACATACCTGGGTATTTCATATTTCATGTCTAAGGTCTTCCAAAATAAGTCTAATAAATTGGAGAAACTGTAGTATTTTTAGTTCATTTCATTACTCCAGGAGTTTTCTGTATCCTTGTAAGTCATGAAGAATACAGGTAAGATTTTAGTTATCTGTTGGAGAGAGGAACTAAGTCCTTCACCTATGTTCTCTTTTAATACAATAACCATATGAAATAAGTGCTGTTATTATCAATTTACAAACAAGTCTGATCAACTCAAAACTTTTACTGTGCCAGTGTAATTTAGTGGTGCAGAGCACAGGTTAGGAGGTGGACTGTGCCCTTAGGCCAGACACTTAATTTGGGCCTCTGTTTCCTCATCTATAAAATGGAGAATTCTACTCTGTACCTCATAAGACTACTGGGAATAGTGTAATATATTTCAAGTTATTAGCATAGTACTTCGCACATATTAAGTAAGTGCTTGGCAATATTATTATTTTATCCTACTAATTTCCCACAAGCTTCCAGTATAACTGGATCAATCATTTTTGCAATTATCAAATTGATAATTTTTTTGTTCACAACTTTTAGGTAACTTCAGAATAATACAAGGTTTAACTTTCATACAGAAGTTTGTCCATTTGTAAGTAAGTCAAAGTGAATTGCTTTTGTACAAAATCTGAGAGCAGTCTAGTATCATTCTTCTAGATCCTGTAAAAAGTCTGGAAACAGCTAGCTAGCTAGTTGAGGTAGTGACATTAGTATATCGACAGAATGTAAACCAGCAAAGAAAAGCATAGTGTTTGGAGATGCAAACCTCGAGGATATATGCCCAGCATTGTCCACCACAAAGAGCTTGAATTTGTAGAACACAAGCATTCTTGTCATTAGAGGTATTTTCAGCTGTGGACAGTGTTTTATCAGAACTCATCATGGTCTGGGTGACTCTTGCTTTTGCTCTGATTATATGTAATTTTCTGTTGATGGATTGGGCTTCCCAAGGGACACTTACCAGGAAGAGGGTGGAGCAGGAAGACATATTCTGACCACTGGAAAGGGCTAGCTCCCACTATAAATTAGTAAAATTGACATTCTGGCTTATACCTGAGTCTTCTGTGATTTTAATTAGTGTTATTCTATCACAGAGATTTGATCACCTTCAGGAGTACTGAGAATCATTAGTACTGGGAATTGCCAAGTCTTTGTGGTAATTTCACCAAGTGCATGCTGTCCTCTAAGATGCTTGGCAGTCAGCCAGCCAGCTGAATGGCCTCCCAGGTGATACAGCTTTTTCAACATGCGCTTGTGTGTCTTCCTCCTTCAAATGTCAATGAATAGTAACTTGTTTTTCCAAGTCATTTTCTGATAGTTCTGTGCCTGATGAGTCTTACTGTTTTAAGTAATTCGTGTTTAATTACACAATACGTGAATATGTCCTCCTTGTAAAAAACTGAAACACTACCACTAAGACCAAAGTGCCTTTTGACAGCCACCCTCCACGCCTATCCTATCTCCTTCCCTGCGTACTCTCTCCACCATGGTAATCCTTATCGTATGTGTATCCTTCCAAACTCTTTTTGCTGCATTTATTGTATATATAGATACAACCCTATAGAAACTATATATATTATGTGTGTTCATGTTGACATATAAGGTATCGTATCTTACTTATCTGCAATTTGCTTTTTTTTGGGGGGGGGGAGTTGTTCAGTGATATATCTTGGAGATCCATCCATGTTAGTATAGAGATTTCTCTCATTATTTCAAAATGCTACATAGCATTCCAAAGAAGTAATAAACTTGTTTAGCTATTATGGATGGATGTTTAGGTTTTTCCCAGTTCTTTGTTACTGTAAACATCCTTCTTTATGTGTCCTTGTACCCAAATACCAGTGTTTCCTTACATCAGTGGTTCTCAACTAGGGGAGGCTTTGCCCACCAGGGGACATTTGGCAATGTCTGGATGCATTTTTGGATGTTACAGTGGTTGGGGAGAGAGGGGGATGCTACAGGTATCCAGAGGGTGGAGGCCAGGGATGCTGCTAAACATCCTACAATGCACAGGACAGCGTCCCACCACACAGATTTATCTGGTCCAAAATGCCAAAGCTCAATGCCACCTGTTTTAGCCTTTTTAAAAAGACAGAACCCACTTCTGGTACCGATTTATCTTTTAACTACTGCTGTGTAACAAACCACCTCAACTTAAAATAACAATGATCTATTATTTCTCACAATTTTGTGGGTTAGATGGGCAACTCCTCCAGGATCACTTATGCAGCTGCATTTAGCTGGACAGTTGATGGGGCTCAGAGCCAAAGCAGCCTCACTCATATGTCGGGCAATTGGTATTAGTTGTCATCTGGGGTGCCTCATTTTCCTCCATGTGGCCTCTCATCCTCCATCAGCTTAGACCAGCTTACTTGTATCATCTCAGGGCATTTTTCCAAGAGAGCAAAAAGTGGAAGCTGGTAGGCTTATGGGATTGAGGACTGGACCTGGAATTCAGTGTCACTCCTGCCACATTCAGAATTTGCAAAGTGTCACTTCTGCTGCATTCTATGGGTCAAAGCAAGTCACAAAGCCAGCTCATACTCAAGAGGGGAAAGAGACTCTACCTCTTGTTGGGAAGAGCAGTAAATTCAAACTGAGCAGAATGGGTGATGTGATGATTAGAAGGGAGTCATTTTGAGTGTTAGGCTGGTATAATACTGACAGTATTCTTAGACCTAATGGAAAATCTTCAGTATACCATGGCCTGGAATACTGATGTAAATTGAGGGCATGGTTCATTCCATTTTTATTGATGATAACTGTCTAAAAGAAGTCATAGATCACTTATTATCAAAGCTGATATTACATTATAGGGTAAAGATCTATTTGTATGAGTCGTCTTTCTGCCTATGGCGTCTAGTACATAGGAACTCAATAAATTTTTGAGGAATCGAAGTGAAATGACACTTGCCATCCAGACAATTCTGTTGACCCTTGGCAGTTGCAGGCTTAACATTCTAGGATTTGACTATTCAATAAGGATTCTGAAAGTCCATGACATGATGTCATTTATAATTGCAAAGCATAAATACAAATCATGCTGAGGCTTGGTGTGCTAGAAAAAAACCCTTAGCCATTAAGTGAGCTTAGGTGATTGTTCAACGTCTTCATCTCAACACAGCTTCACTGTTCTCAGCCTAAGGAGTGTGAAATCTCATTAAAGAGTCAATCTCCAATTCAACTGTATTTTATGAAGACCATCAATATGCTATAGTAGCATATGTCAATGTAAAATTTGTGAACATCTTGGGATCTAGCTCTCTGGCTGAAAAAAGCAGCAAATGTGCCCAAGCTTCCATTTTCTAGAACTGCAAGGAATGCCATTGTCTTAAGCATGCTCTTAAGAGTGTTTTGAAAGGCTGAGTCACAGCTGGGGTAAGTACCATTGGACAGGCAATCCAGTCTCCTTTGTCCTAGGAGATCTGCCTTTCCTTACTATTGTGTGGCGAGAAATGTAAACTCCTCGGCCCCATGTAAGAGATACCCTGCAGGTAGAGGTGGGACATGAATCCGGAAAAGTCACCAGTTAAAATTTGTGCTTCTGTCATGGCTACTTACAGTCACTTCTTAAGGGCTCTGTTGACAAGTAAAAACAGAGCCAATGTTGGGTCCATTATACTTTTTGTTTTTAACACTAAGTTATGCTTATGTCCAAGAGGATCTGTGGCAGTATATCCATTTTAAATGTATCTTCATTATTATTCATTTGATAAATGTTAAGAAGGGCAGCCAAATATCCTGTTTCCTAAAACTGTAGAAAACAATAGTACAGCACATTAACTTTCACTGTGCTTCTTACAGTAGATGGGAAAAAGCACTGGGTTTTAACCTCTTAATGTCTTAGTATCCTTTTCTTGCACCTGGCGTATTATAATCTATCATACCTTATGATATGCCAGGTGATTCTGCAAAAGAAAATCATACAATAAGAGCACTTTAATGTGTAAAATGAAATACTCACGCATTCAACATTTATTTCCAGTTACAAGAAAATGTAAGATATACGGTTTCATATCACTTTGCTTAAAATGTATTACAGGAGGAAGTCTAACAGGAGCTGTATTTAATCCAGCTTTGGCACTTTCACTACATTTCAAGTGTTTTGATGAAGCATTCTCCCAATTTTTTATAGTATATTGTCTGGCTCCTTCTTTAGGTAAGCATATTTTTATTTAATATGTTTGAAAGATTATCACTGTAACATGTCAATTTCCAAAGCAAGAGTAAGCACAAAAAAGAAAATGAAAAAGGTAGCTAACATGTCTGAAATAACATTTCATTTTGTGCATTATTCTTTAAAATGGTTTTAACTGACAAAAAAAAAAATTATCTAGTTAAGGATCATTAGTTTCAGGTATGATATCATTTTAAGAAACCCTGAGATACAACGGCAAAAAAGTGAAGCAATTACTTCCATTCAAAAATATATATATATATAT